TATATACACATACACACACACACACACACACACACACACTAAAATAAGCTACTTATTATGGCACTTGTATTACTATTTCTACTTCGCTGTTTTTCACTCATTGCAGGGCTTCAGAGCAAGGATCCCCTGTGATAAACGAAGGACTACTGTATTTTAACAATTGCTCTTGGATCTGGGGTCACTTCAGTGTGATTTTCCTTTAAGTTAACCAAACAGCACACATATGATATCCAAAGGTTATTAATCGATAATTGCTACTTAAAATTTAGCCAAAGTTGATCATTTTTGTAATGCAGAGGCAAAGTTTTATGGAGAAAAAAATCATTTTGTTTTTGGGTGTGACATCAGTTTATTCCTAAAGCAACAGTTGAAAACAGATCCAAGTTTTATACTGCGAGATGTCAGAGACTAATCAGAGAAAGATCCATTCCAGCATTAATTTGTTCCTTCAGGCCATTTTTTTTTCCCCAAGACTAACACAAACCTTGGATCACAGTAAACAACCTCGAGCAGATTTATCTCAGCTCTTTCAAGTCGGCGCTAATGAACTGGTACTCCCAGCAGGGGTCAAATACAAATATTTATTAAAAGGGAGATGACCTGTGACTTTATGAGAAAGTCGTACACTCGTGCAGCGAGCACTGGTCGGGTCATGACGATGTTTGGTGGTATGGCTCCCAGGTTACAACTCTCCCACTCTGACAGAGCAGCACGGCGCCCATCTGGGCACAGGAGCTCAAAATCAGATGATCTCAATCCCTCCATCCACCCGGTGGAGTTCAAACCTGAGTGGAAACACAAAATTACCACAGACTCTATATGTGTGTGAAATAGTGCCACTGTGTCTTGGTTGTGTATCCTCACTGAGGATGTTGGTGAGGAGGTTGTGCTGCTCCAGGAAGGCCACGTCACCGTAGCTTTTCCCACTTGGATCTCCAACCAAACACCTGAATATTGAAAATGGAAGGATTAGACAGTCAGTCCACTCTCTGCAAACAAATAAAACCAAATTAAGTGACTCATGCTGGCAAAATGAGTTGCTATGAGGACTTTTTCCAGTATTGAGACATTATTATTTTCATCTCAAAAGCTTAAAATTATACATAGTTTGTTGAATTTGGCACTTTGTCACCTGGCTAGCAACAAGCTAGTTTTGTTTGCCTGTTTGAAAATATTTTTAATTGGTCTGGGAGTGATCTCTTTGGGAATTCCAGCTGTATATTTAAAAAGAGGCATCTCTAAGGTTTACAATGATGCCAAACATTATACAACAAAATGTCCAGACTCTACAGCATTCAGCAGAAAAAAAGGTCAATGTCAAAGGAAAGGAAACAATAAGATAAAGTTTGATTTCTGAAGACATACCCATTAGAAAAGTTTGATTTATGTGTAGATCAGGAAGATTACATGCTATTTTAGATACTGGGATTGCTAGATGGTGTCTTTATGGTCTCCATCCATTATCTTTTACCTGCTTTTTTCTTTTTCAGGTCACAAGGGTCACTGGTGCCCATATCCATGCAGTCACTGTGTGAGAGACGGGGGAATGCCCTGGACAGGTCGCAAGTCCATCACATGGACACAGAGACAAACAAGCATTTGTGTGTGCCACCTATCTAGTCTATCTTAGTCTTTATGAACTACCAGTAATTTAATATAAATCACAATTACAGCAAAGATAAATAATTTTACTTGTTTTGCACTGCAGCCTCATTCAGGCTCATGTTGCCTGCACGGGTCACATGTACTTGGCTGAACCATCTTTTTAACCAACAGGTGAACAGAAACCCCTGTACCTTAAGGCACCCATATTGCCATAGTAACGCTCATTGTGGTTGTCAGTGCAGCGTTTGGTCGCAGCCTCCCCAGTTCCTCCCATACATACTTTGCACAGATTCCCCTGAGAGCCAGGAAGACAGCCTTTCCAAAATACTTCATTGTACACTAACAAAAAAAAAAAGGTTTTAAAAGACAACAAACCATTAGAATGAGCAGCATGAGACAAGGTTTGATATGCACAAAGTTGAACAAACTGATGTTTTCGAGTCAGTACCTTGGTTTGGATTACAGGGGGTGCTGACGTGCTCCAGGCTCAGTGTGTGCGTGTACGGCAGCAGCCATCCTGCAGGACTGTACATATGGCCATGACACGAGCGCCGGCCTCCTAGATTCCCGATGTACACATTCCTGCTGGAGCGCTTCGCGATCGCTACACCCACAACCGAGGGAAAAACTGAGGGGACAAACGGCAACGTAAAGACAACAGCAGCAACAAGCACCGTCACTTCAACACATTACTGCTCTTCATCCCCTCACCGTCAGTCTCTAAATGAGCTGATCCTTCTGCAAGAACGCATGTTCTTCCTGAAAGAAGAAGAGAGGACAACAGCAAATAATCAATATGTCTTATAATGCAGCTGTGCTAACTTTTATAGTCATCCAAAAGTGAATAAAACTCCTAAAACAATCTTTAAAACAGCCCTATCAGTTGTGACAAGGAGGAGTCAGATACTTTTGAGTTTCAGATGTTTTAACAGGAATGTCACATTTAGTCAATGATCAGTGCTTAAAAAACAACAACATCCAGCTGCAATCAGAGATTATTATTAGATGAAACCACATAAATAATTATAATAATAATAATAATAATAATGTCATCACAATGTCAGCACTGTATGTTTCCATACAATGGCGAAATTAGTCTCTGCATTTAACCCATCCACCACCAGGTGGTGCAGTGGGCAGCTATTGAAAGCGCCCGGGGGGCATTTTGGGGATGAGACGTGCTGCCCAGAGACGCCACGTGATGTGCAGTGACTGGGGATCAAACCTGGGACTTTCGGGTCCCAAGCCGGCTGCCCTGCCTCTACACCATCTCGGCCCCCATAAAAATAATCATTTAAAAAAATTAATTAATTACCCGTTCCCGGTGTTCCCAGTGAGAGCTGGAGTCCGCCAAGGTTGCCCTTTGTCACTGATTCTGTTCATAACTTTTATGGACAGAATTTCTAGGCGCAGCCAAGGTGTTGAGGGGATCCGTTTTGGTGGCCTTAGGATTGCGTCTCTGCTTTTTGCAGATGATGTGGTCTTATTGGCTTCATCAGATCGTGATCTACAGCTTTTGCTGGAGCGGTTCACAGCAAAGTGCGACGCGGCCGGGATGAAGATCAGTTCCTCCAAATCCGAGGCCATGGTCTTGAGCCGGAGGAGAGTAGAGTGCCCTCTCAGGGTCAGGGAGGAGGTCCTACAACAAGTGGAGGAGTTCAAGTATCTTGGGGTCTTGTTCACGAATGAGGGGAAAATGGAGCGTGAGATCGATAGGCGGATAGGTGCAGCGTCTGCAGTGAAGCAGGCGCTGTACTGGTCTGTCGTGGTGAAGAGAGAGCCGAGTCAAAATGCAAAGCTCTCAATTTACCGATCGATCTACGTTCCTACCCTCATCTATGGTCATGAGCTTCGGGTTGTGACCGAAAGAATGAGATCTCGGATACAAGCGGCCGAAATGAGTTTTCTCCGCAGGGTGTCTGGGCTCTCCCTTAGAGATAGGGTGAGAAGCTCGATCATCCAGGAGGGACTCACAGTAGAGCCGCTGCTTCTCCACATCGAGAGGAGCCAGTTGAGGTGGCTCGGGCATCTGTTTAGGATGCCTCCTGGACGCCTCCCTGGTGAGGTGTTCCGGACACGTCCCACCGGGAGGAGGCCCAGAGGAAGACTCAGGACACGCTGGAGGGACTATGTTTCTCGGCTGGCCTGGGAATGCCTCGGGATTCCCCCGGAAGAGCTGACCCAAGTGGCTGGGGAGAGGGAAGTCTGGGCCTCCCTACTTAGGCTGCTACCCCCGTGACCCGGCCCCGGATAAGCGGAAGAAAATGGATGGATGGATAATTAACTACCGTATTTTCCGGTGTATAAGTCACACTGGAGTATAAGTCACATCGGTCAAAAAAGCATTGTGAAGAGGAAAAAACATATAAGTCGCTTCTGCGTAAAAGTCGCATTTATTATGTGTCACCGCTGACCTGTCGCGTTTATTATGCATTTATTTAATGGTCAAAACAGCTTCATTTTGCCTGGGCGGCGCTGCGCCATCTATCCATTCATCCATCTATCGTGGCCGGAGCCGCTAGCTCTCCAGCCTTTCTCCACCTGCACCAGCTGAGTGAAGCGAGCACAGGAAGACTCGCTATTGCAGTTCTTGGAAATTTAAAGCGTCAGTCCAAAATTGCGTTCTGAATATGGAAAAAAAACGTATATAAGTCACTTAGGCGTATAAGTCGCAGGACTGAAATCTATGTAAAAGACTGCAACTTATACGCCAGAATGGTATCCAGTTTTCAGGCACAAACTTCCAACATTAACAGGTTGGACTTTCAATTGTTAAAACGTATTGAATCAGTGAGTTGAAGACTGAAGTAAACAATAATAATCATATTTGTTGAGTTCTTTGCCTTAAAATGTGCTAATCAGCAAAAACTCATGTTAATATTGAATACAGTCAATGTTAAATAAACTAAGTGCTTTGATTTTTTTTTATGCGTTCTTTGAGCACAATGAGATTCTTACCATAATATTCTGTTACCACGGGGGTGAGACCACATTTTCCTGCAATGAATGAGTGAGTTGCATCCAGCGAGACAGCGTCCACCTCATCCCTCTGTGAGAAAGAAATAAACAGGTTATAGCAGCTCGTTTGGCTTTTTCACTCAATAAAAGAACTTACCTTGATCTTCTCAATACAGTCACGCATCGAGACAGCTTGGACACACACCAGAGGGTCCGACTTAACGCTGAGAGCCCACTGCTCACACTTCTTCTGCTCGGCATAGCTGATGCAGCACCAACGGACAACACTGTCCTCAAGGGAGCTTCCTGCAAGCACATCCTAAAAGTCACATCCTGCATGCATTTGTTTAAATATGAAGAACCATTGGAAAGAAGCATTAGCACCTTCATGGCCAAGACCTTTGAGAAGAGCAACATAATCCAGCCCCAACACCTGGCTGATGTCCACATCATCTGGCAGAACAACCAGCTTATCTGTCACATCTCTCAAGAGGAGGTCCCTCTCTCCATAAGATGATGAGTTGAAAGGTTGGAAGCGTTGCCTCTCTTTTCCTTTCTGACCAAAGAGCAGCTAAAGATAAAAAAATATATTTTTTTTTAAAAATATTTAATTCGTGGCTCAACAAACTGAGCATCACTGTGACACTGCACTTTTTTTGTAAAGTACAAAACAATATTGAAGAGAAAAAATAATGTTTTTTTCTACCTGCACAGTTGTTATAAACCTGCGGACAACTTTGCGAAAATTGTGTCTGGTGACCATTCCCCCTCCAGGACCACGGCCCAGATTGCAGCTCCTGAAGTGGCTCAGAGGAGCTTGTGTCCCATCAGGACAAAGTAACCTGAACTGGTTTTGTTCACTGGCTGACAAAACAGGTAAACAATAAAACAAAAAAAAATAAATGTATTAAAATAACATTAGAATCTGAGACATTAGAGTTCTAGAATTGCGCCGCTCAAGGTGGCTGCATGTTGGAGCAGCTCTGTTACTTTCATTCTGAGATTTTGCTTTTGGAAACTTTAATTCCTCTTTTTCTGGATGTAAATCACAATTTTTTGATGATTGTTTCCTCTGGTATCGGATGCTGTGCAGCTGGAAGGATTTTTACTGAAACTTTTTTAGTTTTGGACATTTGTTATGATGCGTAACCATGACAACAAGGCAGTTTTCTACAACCAACAGCAGCTGATTAACATCTCAAAAGCTCAAATAATATCTCAACTACAGCCCAAAATCTCAAATGAGTTGAAAAAGGATGTTCTGTGGACGCATTCTCATCTACCTGCCAGCTGTGCTCGAGTGTCTGACCACTGAGATCCTGGAACTAGCAGGAAACACGGCTCATGACAGTGGAAGGACAGGATCGTCCCCCGACACCTGCAGCTAGCTGTCTGCAGAGACGAGGAGCTCAGCAGACTGCTGGGAGGAGTGACCATCACTCTGGGAGAAGTTCTGCCCGGCATTCGGGCGGTCCTAGAGCCCGGGGGAACCGAGTGGCCAGCCGAGTCTGGGTGGATGGATCGAACAGCATCTGCAGCCAGCTTCTTAGGATCCACTGTGGGATGGACCTTTACAAGAGATCCTTCCTGTCTACAGCCATCAGTATCTATAACATCTCTTAATGAAATGAGGATCACGAGTTACAACAACAAACAATTTCCCTTTGGGATTAATAAAGTATTTTTGAATTGAATTGAATTGAATTAAGTTGCTTTATATTTATCAGGTTTGAGCAATCTTGCTTTTTATTCCTCACTTGGAGGAGTCCTTGATCTTCTAAATTGAACACATGGTCAGATAACTATCTCCACATTGATTATCACTTTATGCATTTCATCTGTGGCAACATCTACTTAGATTTGTAGAATATAAATGAGCTGACAGAAAAGCCACTTGAAAAAATAAATAACTGGACATTTTGTCTGGTAAACTAGACATTCAAGACAAAATACCAGTTTTAGACAGATTGTATTCAAGCAGTTAAAAACAGCAGTGAATTGAACAGATACAAGTAAAAGACTTTAATATTTACCATCAATAGCTTCAATAGCAAAATGGTCCACAAATGCAACATCACCTGCCCCACTCCTGAGACACCTGAAGACCAAAGGAAAATACAGTGACGTGAAGTAAATCAAACTTGCTCTGATGTCCTGTTGATGCTGACCTCAGGGCTCCCTGGTTGTTGTAGAAAGGCTCGCTGTGGGAAGTCTCACAGTGATGATTCTTCTGACGAATGAAAGACTTTTGTCCTTGACACAGAGAGCACAAAGCAGGTGCCATGGCGGCGCCTCCAGGAACACAGCTGGCAGCAAAAAAGTCGCCGACATCTGCTTGAAAACGAACTCGTAGTGAGAGGATTGAAAAAATAAAAATCTATAGATTGAAGCAGAAAAATGCAGACAGTGAACCACTGTGTCACCAGTACCCCGGATGAGAGGATGCTCCTTGGACCAGCTCAGGTAGTTCCTGGACAGCAGGAAGCCGAGCGGGAGGCTCCATCCAGCTGTCCACCGAAGCCCGCTGTGACAGCTCCTGTGGCCCCGCAGGGACCGAACATCCAAGTTGCGGTTTGTCACCACAGCCACAGACAGAATGCAGCCTCCTGCAGATGAAAAAACAACAACACTCTCAGATTTCTGTGAGGGGACAGCACTAAATGTTTCAGGAAGCAAACCTACCGTCTCTGTAAAGCTCTTTAGCAACGGCAACGAGGTCAAACTGCTTCACAGCTGAATAAAGCTCTCCTGCATCCAAGGTCACAATATCAGCACGATTAGCCTAAAACAAAACAAAACAAAAAAAAGTTAAAGAAACAATTATATCGTGCAAATCTTCATGTTTCATATTTCCTGACATTTTTCTGCTAACTTGTCCAACCCCTTAAGAATTTAGGTGCATCACTTGTTATAGCTGCTGGAAACATCTGTGAAGAAGGAATTTAATCAACTATGATTTCATTTTGTCAGCAGTCTGATAAACGGCAGCACGATGGCTCAGTGGATAGCACCATTGCCTCACAGCAAGAAGGTCCTGGGTTCAATCTCCAGTTGGACCTGGGATCTTTCTGTGTGGAGTTTGCATGTTCTTCTCATGCTTGCATGGGTTTTCTTCAGGTACTCCGGTTTCCTTCCATATTAATACAAAAACATGCAAGTTAGTCTGCCTTCAGGTCTAGGCCTCCCTTTCAAAAGAGAGCTGTGATCTCAATGGGATTTGCCTGGTTAAATAAAGGTT